TGACTAGCTGTGCCATCTGACTGACAAATCACTTAATATCTCAGCATTTCAGGCGACCCTCTGAGACTTTAAGTTGCAGATCATTGTTGACGGTTGTGTCTGACTCTTTGTGACCACATGATGAGGTTTTCTTGGCAAAGATACGAGAGTATCTCACCATTTCCTTCTCTAGTGGATTAAAGCAAACAGAGGTTAAGTGACTTGCCCAGCATCATACAGCTAGTAAGCGTCCGAGGCTGGATTTGAACTCAGGTCCTTCTGACTCCAGCTCTAGCACTCTAACCACTGAGCCATCTAGCTGCCTCCTTAAGTTTCAGAGCAGGGACTAATCTGCCATTAGCAGGAGGAGTTTCTCACTATACCTATGTTCCCTACCTGTCCTATATATGTATGTATGTATATGTATGTATATATGTATATCTGTCCGTATATAGGTGTACATATATACACATGTGTGTGTACACACATTATATATATAGATATATATGCTACATATACACACATACATATACACATACACACGCATCCCTATGCTTATACTACCTACCTTGAGTTGAGAAAATAACCATGTAGAATCTTATTAGACCCAAAAGACATGGTCTTTCCCTTTGAGGGGTTCAGATCCCATTCCCATCATCACTATGGCTAGTCCCTGGCTATCTTTGCCCTCCTGGCTTTCCAGACTTTGCTAACATGCCTCAGCTGCCTCAGAGCCTAGGGCCTCTTACCCTGAAACATCTCTCTGCCACGCTACCTCTTCTCCCACTAGTGAGTTTCTCCCAGGGCCTCCATTTTGAGGAGAAGGCCCAAGCTGGTCTTTCTTAATTCTCTTCCTGCCTTTGTTTCCTGTGTTCTGGACATTGAAACTGTGGTCTTGGGTACTAGCTGTGTGACTCTGGGCAAGGCACATGGGTACCTCTCTCTTCTCCCCTCTCCACTTTAAGCTTCCTTTGGTATGTCAACTTCTCCCATTACAATGCAAGCTCCTTCAAGGCAGGGATTGTTTCTTTTTTCTCATGTCTTCCCAGTGCTTAGCACAGTGCCTACCACATAGTAGGTGGGTGCTTAATAAATGCATCTTACAGCCTTGCCTATCCACTAAGCCATACTGCCTCTCACAGGAGAGGCACAGGATCAAAGGAAAAATTGTCTAGCTGGCATGACATGATGAGAAATTACAATCCCTTTTCTACTAATCTACTAATCTAAGACGGGAACTATGCCGACACAGCAGAAAAATATCAGACCGAGGACATAGTTCTCCTAAGGGCCAGCTATGTTCCTGGCTCGAAACAGTGCTTCCTTCTCACTTCCACAAATATGGCTGAGAATGTCCGGGCCTTTGCCTCCACAAGACCTCTAGCAGCGCTGCAGGAAGTCATTATTTGTAAGGGAATCCACTTTGAAGGCCGGCAGAAGAAGGAATAAAAGGGCAAGGCCCAATCGTGATGATTCCACCGTATGAGATTGCCATCTTCTGGCTCCCAAGAACATTACTCCACACAGCTCCCCTGGCTGGAAACCCTGCAACAGAGCCCCTTCCAACCTGGGATGATGAAGGCAATCAGACGTCTTTAAAAGTATGCCTAGCAACACTAATGATTATGAATGAGAAGCAAAGGTTCAGGATCACAGAACTTTAGAGCCAAGAGAGTCACTAGAAATCAGCTTCCTCATCAACCAGCCTTTCAATTTATCCCCCACACAGCTGCCAAAGAGATTTGTTTTTAAAGTACAGGTGTGAACACGTCATTCTCCTGGCTTAATAAACTCCAGTGGCTTCCTATTTCTTCTAGGGTCAAATACACACACTTCTGTTTGGCGTTTGGAGCCCTTCACGACTTGGTTATTTCAACTCACCTTTCCAACCCAATTGTCGATTACTCATCTTCACAAATTCCATAGTCCAGCCAAGATGGCTCTTCTTAGTTGTTCCTCACACAAGACACTCCTCCTCTCACTTCCATGCCTTAGTACAAATTATCCTGTACGCCTGGAAAGTAGTCCTTCCTTATCTCTGCCTCTTCCAATTCTTACTTTCTCAGACTTTCCTGATTCATGTCTTTCTCTTCCTGTCCCCACCTCTCCACCCTAACCACTGTTCTAGCTACCAGCACCTTCTCCCCACCATCATCTTTATTCTATGTGCATCATTGTTGTTCAATTGTTTCAGTAGTGTCTGACCCTATTTAGAGTTTTCTTGGCAAAGATACTGGAGTGGTTGCTATTTCCTTTCCCAGCTTATTTTATAGATGAGAAAACCGAGGCAAACAGGGTGAAGTGACTTGCCCAGGGACACACAGCTGGTAAGTGTCTGAGGCCAGATTTGAACTTGGAAGATGACCCTTCCTAACTTTAGGCCTGGTGCTGTATGCATTATGGCGCCACCTGGCTGCCCTATGTTGCAAATATACATATTGAATCTCCTGATAAAATATTAGATCCTTGAGGGTAAGCTTTGTTTCATTTTCATTTTTATATTCCCAGCACCTAGAACAGTAGGTAGTAAATAAATGCTTGTAAAAGTAGGTTTCGAACTTTTTGGTCTCAGGACCCTTTTACCCTGTTAAAATTGATTAAAGACTCTAAAGAGTTTTTGTTATGTGTATTATAGCTATCAATATTTACCACATTAGAAATTAAAACTGATAAAATTTTAAATTTTAATTCATTTATAAAAGACAATAAACCCACATATTAACAAATATTGTTATGAAAAATAACTTTTTCAAAATAAAAAAATTAGTGAGAAGAATATTATTGTTTTTCATATTTTTGCAGATCTCTTTGATATTTGGATTAATTTTCTTATCTGCTTCTGCATTCAATCTGTTGTGATATATTGTTCTAGTTGAACTACATGAAGGAAATCTAGCCTCACACATAGTTGGAAAAGGAAGGAATATTTTAAGAGAGCAAATAACATCTTAATATTATGAAAGTGGAAGCTATGGGGAGCAGTGGATAAAGTAAAGACCTAAATTCAAATCGTGCCTGAGATACTTATCACTTGTGTGACCCTGGGCAAGTCAGGTCATCCCATTTACCTCAGTTTCTTCATCTGTAATGTGATCTGGCGAAGAAAATAGCAAACCACTCCAGTATCTTTGCAAAAAACCAGAAAACCAAAAAACCAAAAAAAAACCAACCAAAAAAAAAACCCACAAAAGAAAACCAGAAAAACAAATGGGATCACAAAGAGTTGGACATGACTGAAAACAACTAATAATTATTATGAAAATAGTTTTAACTTTAAATGAGAAAATAAAACTGATGTTGACTCAACTTAGGACCACTCAACTGAGGAAATACTAGAGGTAAAGCAGGTCAAAAAAAAATTGACTATCGATAAGAAATCCTTTCCCACAAGAAACACATCTACAAAGCAGAAGGCACCAGCCACAACAAGAGGTTATAGGGCATCACAGTAGTAATGCACACTACATCTCTCTCTCTCTCACACACACACACACCTATTTCTATGTTAGTTTAGAAAGGAATAATAATCAAAACTGACATTTATATAAGCTTTTAAAATTTGCAAATAGTAGGGAGATACTTGGGAAATTCCCCATCCCTTTCAAACCACACCACATAGCAGCATTCTGATCCCTCGCAAGGTGCCTTGAAGAGAACACCCAAAGCTTTGGTTCTACACATAAAATAAGAGAAGCTAAAGTTAGTTAAAAAATAAAATAAGAAGGAGGTGTTAAGTGAAAGACTATTTTATACTCCTAGTACTAACTTTTTTTTTCCTGCATCAAAAAGGTCATATATTCTCATCACAAAGCAAGATCTTTCTTCTTTCTTTCCCTTTACATTTTGCTTTAGCCTTAATCACGGGGCATTGCCTTAGTCAAACTGAGACCTGTTAAAGACCTTAACTTTAAAAAGGTCAAAGTCTCCCACTGCATCCTGTAGCATCTCCAGTCGTCCTGATCCATATCTGACCACTTGACCCTGATGGCTACGGAGGAGAAAGTGAGGCTAGTGACTTTGCACAGCCCTCCCTCACTTAAATACAAGCAGTTGCATGTCATGGCATCATCTTCCTGATGTCATGATCCTCTTCAAGAACTAAGGACCAACAACAACAACAGCAACAACATTTGCAAAGCACTTGATGTCAATTAGCTCATTTAGGGTTATTATCCTCATTTTACAGACAGGGAAACCAAGGCTCAGAAAGGGTAAGTAACATGCCCACAGACATAAAGCTGGTTAAGCAGCTGAGGTGGAGAAAAAAAAAAGTAGTTGAGGTGGGCTTCAAACCCATATCTTCCTGGTTTTTTTCAGGACAACATATTATCCAGTATAACATGCTGCCTCTCATAACAATAATAATACGCACGAGAGATATGGCCTACCATGTGCTGTTTCCCACCATACTACAAAGCCCAGGTTGTTTGTTTTTTTTTCATCCTGCTCACAAGTTTCTGACTATGCCAAACAGCCCTCATTAAATAAACTTCCTTCATGTCTCAGCTACAGTCCTACCTTCTGCAAGAAGCCTTTCCCAGTCGCCTTAATTCTAGCGCCTCCCCTCTGCTGATTATCTCCAATTTCTCCTGCCTAGATCTTGTTTGTACATAGTTGTTTGCATGTTGTCTCTTTCATTAGACTGTGAGCTTCTTGAGAATAGGAGTTCTCTTTTGTCTTTCTTCGCATCTCTAGCATTGAGCTCAGTGCCTGGCACAGAGTAGGTGCTTAATAAATGTTAATTGACTGATTAAAACTTGAACCTGAGCTGTGTCCACTTTGTCCCTCTCACACTCTTGAGAAATTCATATTTCCTAATAATTAGGCAGATTCCTAATATCATTTTAGCAGGCTTAAAAGGATGCAACACTTGTCTTTAGGATAGTTCAAAACACTCTCCAGTCTTGTTACACTTCTTAAAACAAAAAAGTCAAAAGCATACTCATATAACGTTAAAAAAAATTACCTTAGCACATGCTATCTAGTTAAGAAACCAAGTCTCCCTTTCCCCCTTGACTGACCTTATGTTCAGCCACGACAACATGGGGGTTGTGCCTCCACCGATGATCCAAACCGTGAAGAAGACGATCAGGAGAGTGGTGGAGAACATCATCTGGTGAGAGTAGGTCGCAGTGTCCCGAATGGCCAGAGCGAAAGCCATTGCTCCCCGAAGGCCTGCAGAGACCCACAGAGGCCATGATATGTATCACAATGGTAAGTGACAACATATTTTCTGTAGAGCCAAAGTTGATTCAAGCAGCAAAAAATCATTCAAATACCATCTAAGGAGCTGAGAGGTTTATTAATCAGAGGGGAAGGGCTTCTTCACATTCAGAGCTGCCTTTTGTAGAGTGAACAAATGAAGCAGCAGCAAAAAAGCACCAGGCCATCTTTTCATTGGCACAATTCAGGCATCTCTATCACGTCCATCTTTTACTTCTTTAAGAAAATCAAAAGAAATAACTGAAGCCCTGTGAACAGTGAGCCCAAACTCATGCCAAAGATTAGGGTACAGCTGTTGGGAGCCTGAAAAATGCTCCATAATGAGTATAACAAATAAAAATATTAGAATACTAACTCACAAATTTCAAAGTAGTTCAGAATTTCACTAGCAAACTGAGAAAAGAGAAAAGCTAACATATAATAAATCCTAAATGGGCATGTCTTAGAAATAAGTACCAAAATTATCAGTCCATGTCCTTTTTTTCTCCTGAACTCAATTCCCCAAACCTCTAGCAATCAGGTGGAGCCTATAGTCTTTTTTAAGGATCAATTATTAATTTTTGTTGTTGTTTAGCCTTTTCAATTGTGTCTGACTGTTTATAACCCCTTTTTTGGTGGAGGGAGGTTTCTTGGCAAAGATATTGGAGTGGTTTGTCATTTCCTTCTCCAGCTAATTTTACTGATATGGAAAGTAAGGCAAACAGAATTTAAGTGACTTGCCCAGGGCCACACAGCTAGTAAGTGTCTGAAGCTGGATTTGAAGTCAGGAAGACAATCTTCCTGCCCCCAGGCCTGACACTCTATCCACTTTGCCACATCATCATCATCATCATCATCTTCATCATCATCATCATATCATTATCGTCATCATCACTACCATCACCATCCCCATCTCCATCACCATCATCATCATAGCTAGTACTTATCTAGTACTTTAAGATTTATAAAGTAATTCGCAAATATTATATCATTTAATTCTCACAAGAATGCTGGGAGCTAAGTGCTACTATTATCCCCATTTAGAGGTCGGGTGATTTGATTAGTGTCACATTACTATTATGTATCTAAAGGCAAAATTTGAACTCAGGACTTCCTGACTTCAAATTCAGTGGTCTATCCATTTAACCAAGTAGCTGTCTCTATGTACTTGTGAGTTTGGAGTGCATGTGCCATAGTCCCCTTTCCCCCATCCCTAGAATCGTCTCCTTGATCACTTCTGCCTCTTGGGGCTCTCCCCCTCCCCCAACTCCATCCCTTCAAGGCTCAGCCCAAATGTGTTCCTTCTTTCAAGAGGTAAATCAGAGGCCAAATTAACTGGAATCAAGATTTCCCAAACACTTTTTTCTTTTGTGCTAGGCAAATCCTCTTTAAAAAAGAAAAAAAAAAAAGCTTATCCTGCCTTCGGATGATAAACTAGTTGTTATTAGCCTCTAAGGAGATGTTTTAGAGAAGGAAACATCCTTTTTTTGGGGTTGGAAGAATTAAATAGGGTACATGATAACCAAGTAAATATGGCCTATCCCTACCTTGTCATCAGATCGTTGCTAGTGACAAGTTATGTTGTAAAACTTTAGCTATTGTAATCTTTTCAGAATAAGTCATGCTGGAGCATTCAATTTTTATCTATATCTAATAACCCCTTGAAATCAGAAGTTCTTTTCCTGGGCTCTGTGAACTTGTTTTTAAAAAATATTTTGATAACTATATTTCAATATAATTAGTTTCCTTTGTAATCCTATTTCATCTAGTATATTTAAAAACATTCTGAGAAGGGAGTCTGTAGGCTTCATCAGACTACTAAAGGCACCTATCACACACATACACAAAGGTAGAGAACTATTGCCTTAAATATTAGAAGCATAATATTTTAAGTGTGTCAGATTAAAAAATTATTTCTAAAATATATTCTAAACGACCTTATGTTGGTCCATAGACAAAGTCTGTTAAAATATGTTCAGTACGTTACTCAAATAGAGCACATATATGTATATATACACATGTATTTACTATTTTTATCACTTAAGGTTGATATTATCAATAGTTATGACATGTAATGGATGTGGCTATGGATACAGACGAAGTAATTCAGATGCAGTGAAAGCTGGCCTGGGATACTGAACCATGTTGGTTGTCATGTCAACAACTGGTGTCTTCAAAGACAATTGAGGTACAATGCAGGTGATTGGGGGAGGGTAATTAAGGGTAGTAGAATGAAGTGGTAAGGATGCTAGGAAAGACTGCTTGTTGTTAGTGATTTCTTGGCATAAAAAATTAATAATTCAACTGAATAGATATTTCAAACTGCATACCCAGAACTGTGCAAAGTATACTCATAATAATAATAAGAGTAAAGAATAAAATAACAATAATAGCAGTTGTTCCTATTTATATAGCACTGTTGCTTAGTCGTTTCCAGTCATGTCCAACTCTTCATGACCCCATTTGGGGTTTTCTTGGCAATGATACTGGAGTGGTTTGTCATTTCCTTCTCTAGCTCATTTTACAGATGAGGAAACTGAAGCAAATAGAGTAAAGTGACTTGCCAAGGGTCACACAGCTAGGGTTTGAGGCCGGCTTTGAACTCAGGAAGATGAGTCTTCCTGAATCCAAGGCTGGCATTCTATCTGCTGTATCACCTAACTGCCCATTATATAGCATATTAAGCTATAAAATCTACTTTCTGTGCAAGAATGCACTGAGGTAGGTAGTATGATTATGACTTTATCTTACAGCTGATCAGACAGGTTTAGAGAAGGTAAATGGCTCATCAAAGGTCACACAGTTATTTCATAATAACTCTCCTCTCCCCCTCCCCTACATTATCCTGACTCTAAGTCCAGAGGTCTTTCCACTGTATGGTGGTTCACCATAGGCGGTATAAAGAATCCCAAGATCCTTGTCTTAGAAGAGTTAACAAATCCTATTAGATAAAGCACATCACTTCTATCAATTGAACAACACTCAGGTTCTACTTTAAAAAAACAAAACAAAACAAAACAAAACAACTTACCTGAAAACATCATCATATGCTGAAAGTTCCAGCCGATCTTATGTCTTCTCCCCAGATTCAAGAAGAAGGAGAGAGGATAAATGTGGGCAGCTCTTCCCAGGAAGATGGCAATCTGATCACCAGATGGAGGTTAAGAATCCACTAAGTTAAGTTTTTGATAGAACATTTCAGGGTACTTCCTACAAAGCAAATAATTTTGGAATTCCTTTCTACCTTGTTGGGATCAGTAGGAAAAAGGGGCTACATTATTCAGTCTCTTCTAAATTCAACAAGTACAACTGAATTTCCCATCTTCCTCACTCCTCCTCCCCCTACCCCAAATCGCTGGTTGGTTGATTGGTAGCTTTTATATTACTCATGAAAAAGCAATAAAACAATTTAACCTGAAAACTGGTTCTGATATCTAGCCACAATTCCAACTACTTCTATCAGCAATGAATCCTAACTTGAGATTCCAAAGCTGTACTCTGATAAAAATGATGTCCTAAGTTTTGAAACATATATTTAAAATTGTATCTATCACATGAGGTGGCTCACAGAGGATGAACCAGTATTTAAAATAATTATGTAACAACAACAAAGCCCTTGTTATCCCTTATCCAAAGGGTTCTCAATTAAGTTTCAGCACAAGGTCAGTAGGCACAAAGGTCATCATCACAAAGTCATATGGCCAGACTCTGTTAGAGAAGCATTTTCTTGGAAGAAAATTAAGGGGGAAAAATTAGCCCCAAAGCCAAATGCTAAGAAGTTCAGGGTAAAAGAGGGAAATCTGTAAACAGACAGTAGAGGTCTTTAATAATTAGGAATATCCAGTAAATATAAGGGAACGTTTTCTTAAAGCATTTATAGTAATCGAGGAAATACCTCTGATTACACACAAGCAGTTTATCTATGATTAGAAAGGAAAGAAAATGATTTCTTCTGGTGATAGTCCAAGTGGCGTTAAGAGTCTTCATGAGAATTAGCCTAGGGGATTTCTGTAATCAAGTATAACATCTTTGAGAAATGTGAGTGGGAAGGGGAAACTCTATAGTTGAGATGTAAGAATTAGCTGGATCAGCTTTTCAATGTTTACTCCATTTAACAGAACGCTGTATGAATTTGGGATTCCTCTTTGGCCTGAAGAAAAAGTCATGCTGATGTTGTGAGGAAGAAAGACCTTGCTCTTCCTGTCCCTTCCCTACCCCCAGCTTTCACAGTCATCAGAGGGTAGCTCTTCCAGAGGAGGCTGTTGAAGTCTTTTTCCCTTCTCTGCCTCAAAGCTACAAGATCAGGCAGCTAAGGAACCATGGACAAACACTCAGAAGTAAGCTCAATATATGCTTGATCAATGATCCTGCACGACCACCCAGACACAATTTTCTCATTTGAAAAATGTGGATGATAGGTTATCTCAGTAGATGGTCAATGAGGAGTAATAACTAAAAGGGATAGTCGAGAACTTTGCATCAAAAATCAAAACACCAAGTTCACACAAGTAGGATTGTGGCTTGAGATAAGGAAAAACTTCCTAATAGTGAGAATGGTTCCAAAGTGGAACGAATGGGTTCTCTAGGAAGGTGGTGACTTATCCCCCACTGAAAGCTTTCAAGTGTCTGCTGAATGACCACTTGGAGATTTGAAGGATGGATCCCTGCTTTAGATAGTAATAATAATAGCTAGCATTTAGGTAGAGCTCTAAGTTTTGTAAGGTACTTTATATGGTAGCTCACTTGATCCTTACAACAACCTGTGAGGTAGATGCTATAATCCCCATTTTATAGAAGAGGAAACTGAGGCACAAAGAAATTGAGTTACTTGCCCAGGTCACCCAGCTAATAAGTAAGTGATCGAGGCAGAATGTGAATTCAGGTCTTCCTGATTCCAAAAACCTCACTCTAACTACTGCACAGACTAGCTGCTCAACTAGACGACCTAACATCCCAGACCAGGTTAACAAAATGAAAGGCACATTCCAATGTTCCTCATGGTCCTCGTCATAATTAAGTCACATTTTGTTTAAAGCCAAGTAGCCTGTTTACCTATGGGAGTCTCTAAGCTATTCTATAAGCATGCCTACATGGGTAACTTTGGCAATCTAAGTTTGGGTTTGTGGATTTCTAAAGTTATTAAATGGGCAGCTAAGTGGCGCAGTAAATAGAGTGCCAGGCCTGGTGTCAGAAAGACTTGTCTTCTTGAGTTCAAATCTGGCCTCAGACACTTATTAGCTGTGTGACCCTGGGCAAGTTACTTAACCTTATTAGCCTCAGTTTCCTCATTTGTATAATGAACTGGAGAAGAAAATGGTAAACCACTCCAGTATCTTTGCCAAGAAAATCCCGAATGGGGGCACAAAGAGTTAGTCATGACTGCAAAATGAGAGAACAACAACAAAGTTATTAAAGCACACATTGATAAACGTGTTCTTCCTACACAACACTCAAAAGCACATCTAAAGGTAGAACTCCATATTTGCTCGCCTCATAGGGCAAGGCTACAGATCCAAGGTCACAGGAGACCTCTGACTCTTTGGAATTGGACAAATTAATGCAGAGAGTTACACCCTGAATTCCAGGTTTGGCTTCACCTCTACAGACAATCTCCCCCAAGCCAAAGGACATTTCCCTGGGAGAAATAAATCCTTCCCTCCTAACAATACTCAAAAAATATCATTTATGAAACTATTGTTCTAGTGTTTAGGCTCCATTCTATTCAGGGGAAGCCAAATGAAAATTGAAATATCATAGTACAATGGTAATGCTCATGGGTGAACTGTTCCTTTTCCCCTCAAAAACTATGCAGCTGTATCAAGGATAGAAATGTTTATCCATTTGGCCCACCTTCTTTTTTCTTTTTATAAAACCTTCCCTTGTGTTTCTCTATCAGCCAGTTAGCTATCTTTGTTCTAGCCTGGTGCTAAAAAAGGCCAAGGCCTGGGTCTAAGCATTGCTGGAAGACAGCTGGCTTTGATTTGTTCCATGGTTACAGCAAGCTGTCTTTCAAATTCGAGCCATTGGCCACAGATGGGCCAATGAGGCAATTCGTCATTGTTCCTGGAAAAGTAATGGTGGGCTCTGCTGATGCAGGCTCAAGAGAATCAGTTCTGTATAACAAAGACATCAATTTTCATTTCCTTTTTTTGTCCAGAGTTTAATTAGCCCCTATGGAAAATTGGTTACTCAAGCCACTGGGAGAAACTGTTAGAATGCCATGACCTTCTCTGACTATCAGACTTTCTGTGTCCTATCCAACAAACAAACAAACAAACAAAAAAAATCAAACCCAACATCAGGGACTTCCCATGGTCCTACCAAAATCTTTTTTGGGGGGGTTTAGGCCTTTACAGAGAAATGGAAATGATGTTTGAATATCAGAGGCTCTGCCAGGGGAAAATAAGCTCTGGTAAGTCCTATCAGGCCAGAAAGACTTTGAATATAGTTCTGCTGACAAGCTGCTGGTCTATGGTCTGAGGATGAGCCTTGTGAAGGTCAGAAATCCCTATAATCAGGTTAGGTTGGCCTCAGAGTGACACATTTCAGAGAGCAACAGCCCTCCAAAGCTATCTCTACTAAAGCCTTCCCTCCCCCAATTGATAAGTGGTCAAAGGATATGAACACACAGTTCTCAGATGAAGAAATTAAAGCCATCTATAGTCATATGAAAAAATGCTCTAAATCACTATTGATTAGAGAAATGCAAATCAAAACAACTCTGAGGTACCACATCACACCCATCAGAATGGCCAACATGACAAAACAGGAAAGTGATAAATGTTGGAGAAGATGTGGGAAAATTGGAACACTAATGCATTGTTGGTGGAGTTGTGAAATGATCCAACCATTTTGGAGAACAATTTGGAACTACGCCCAAAGGGCTATAAAAATGTGCATACCTTTTGACCCAGCAATAGCACTTCTAGGGCTATATCCCAAAGAGATCACACAGATGGGAAAAGGACCTACATGTACAAAAATATTCATAGTAGCTCTTTCTGTGGTGGCAAAGAATTGGAAATTGAGAGGTTGCCCATCAATTGGGGAATGGCTGAGCAAGTTGTGGTATATGAATGTGATGGAATACTATTGTGTTATAAGAAATGATGAACAGGCTGACTTCAGAAGAACCTGGAAAGACTTGTGTGGTGTGATGCTGAGCGAAGTGAGCAGAACCAAGAGAACATTGTACACAATAACAGCCACGTTGTGTGATGACTAATATTGATAAACTTAACCCTTCCTGGCAATACAAGGATCTAAGACATCTCCAGAGGCCTTGTGATGGAAAATGCTATCCACACCCAAAGAAAGAACTATGGAAGCCGAATTGGTTTTTTTTTTCTCTTCTGTTGTGTTTCGTTTCCTCTTTCTGATGGTTCCTCCTATTGATTTTAATTTCTACTTACAACATCACTAAGTGAAAATATGTTTAATATGAATGTAAATTCATATATATCAGATTGTGCACCGTCTTGGGGAGGGCAGTGGGGAGGAAGGGGGAGAAAAATTTTAAACTCAAAAGCATATGGAAGTGATTATTGATAAATAAAAAAAAATTAATTAAAAAAATTTAAAAAAACTAAAAAAAAAAAAAACGAAGGGCAAACAACAACAACGACAAAAATAAAGCCTTCCCTCCTCAAGTTACCTTACATGTTGTTGCTCCCATTAGAATATAAGCTCCCAGATCAGTGGTGTCAAACACATGCAGAAATGGACCCTTGTGGGCTACGTATTGACTTAGAAAACCACATATCAACATTATTTATGTTGTATAATATTCTTATTTATTTTGTTAAATATTTCCTATTTATATTTTAATCTGGTTTTGGTGCACTTGGAAGTCTTGCAGACCATACACGGCCTGTGTTCAACACCTCTGTCCTAGAGGATGATAATAATTATTTTTGCCTCTTTTTCTATCTCCAGAGCTTAGCATTAGGCGTAGCACATGCTATGTGTTTAAGAATGCTTGCTGATTGTTTGCTTGATGCTAAATCATAGGGAGACTGAGAGATATGTGCTAGGAAGCAGACATGTCAATGAAATCACAGATCCTTGAATTATTCTAGTATTAAGTGAAAACAAATATTCCTATGATACCTGACTGATTAACACAAAGTAAAGATCGTAGCATCCTAGAGAAAAGAGGAACTTTAGAGACCATCTAGTCCAATGCATTCATTTTACAGATGAAGAAACTGTGCCCGAGGTCATACAGTAAGTACTTGTATCAAGTATTCTTGACTCCAAGTCAAGAATTCCATCCATTGTGCCACCCAGATGCTTATTAAGTGACTTGGACAAGGTCACATAGATAGTAAAGTAGTAGAGCTGGGATTTAAATGCAGACTCCGCTCATTATGATAATTATTTGCAAACAGACTAGTGTGTAAATAATTGTAGTTTATGGGCCATTACCTGCTGCAAAGGAGGAAGACATAGAGAAATTCTATAGGGCCTCGTAACTTCCTTGAAATGAAATAAAAATATATTGATACAGTGTGACTTCAATCTAAAGGTGGGAGTAAGGACAGTGAAAAATATATTGAAAAATACAGATCAGGAATAAGAAATGAGAGAAACCAGAGCCTTGTAGATTATATAGAAGTCTCATGCCTACATTGTCATAGATATTTTCTTAGGAGAAAAGGATCTGTAGGCACAAGATGTTCCAAGTACCAAATAATGAAGCTTGTGTTTTAACTGACAGAAAATGACTCATTACTGATATAGGAGTCATTCCTGAATCACTTGCCTGTGTATAGTCAGACTTCTGATTTGTTAATGTAATGATAAAGATTAATACAAAGGTAGAAAAGAAATGGAGAAAATGAGAGGGTATGAAATTAAAACAATTCCAGTCTGACCTACTTAAATAAGCTAATGATGATGAAAAATCAGATACAGATGAAAGAAATGACACATACATTGATTACAATAACATCAAAGAGAAGTTATAGATACAAATCAATTGCCTTAACAGGGAGATCAAGGACCTTAAAAAGTATCTTAGTCACCAACATTTGACTTTCCTGTCAAGCAGAAACATATGGCCACTAAGAGCAACACTGGTTTAAATTATAAACTCATTTGTCAGATATTGCAGAGAAGGATGATGGAGGATTATAAACATCTTTCACCTTCTAAGTCAGAGAAAAGAAACGTAAGGTAAAACCATCTTATAGAAAGCTTGGCCAGAGGCCCAACTAAGGAAAGTTATCCCCAAGAGCATTTAAGGACAAAAATGGAAAGAGAAAAACTATAGAAGAAAGATGGAAACAATCAGCAAAGATTTTTATAACAAACTTTTTTTTTTAAATTACCAAGAATAGTAGTGCTACCACCTTTGGACTCCAACATCATAGTCCCAGAGGATGTTATAGGGGAGGCAAAAATGCTGCTAACGTGTACAAAAATGGGAAAAACTGCTGGGTTGGACTAAGTGTACAAACTTGTGTGAAGGTAACACAATTATAAGGAGATGTGGAAAGAGAAATTCCCAAGCTATCTGAAAGAGGGGAAGGTACCAAAGGCATGGAAAAAAATCTTGGACCTTATTACTATTGAAAAAAAGGCAACCAGGAAAAGGCCAATAATTAACCTATATGACTACCCTCCCAACTACATAAAATCTTTATGAAAATCATCACACAGATCATGGGCATTCTTGATGAAGATAATAGTATGTAGCAGGTGGGCTTTTATAATTGATATGCTACAAAAGACATAATCTTTACTATCACTAACTAAAAGATGTAGAAATACTAGCTCACATTGTGTTTACCATTTGTCGATTGTAATAAAACATTTGGTTCAGCAGAGCAACAATGCTACCTTAAAGACTTTCTTTTATCAAAGTGTATACTGTGTATACATTAAAATTACTCAAGATTTCTTGAAATATATAAAAAAGAACTTTAAGGACCCTCTGATCACAAATACCAATCAAGATTCATCTGTGAATATCTGCCAACTTCTCCGAAGTTTTTTGTTTTTGTTTTTTTGTTTTTTTGTTTTTTTTACCATCGCCATGAAGGACAAAGTACAAGTTGAAGAAGGATTCTTAATGGATGTTGAAGTCCTCCATCTACTCCTGCTTGTGGAAAACATTGTGCTAATTGCATCAAACTCCCTGGAAAACTGGAAGACATCTATAATCACTCCAAAGTCTTTGCAGTAATCATCCACACAGGAGATACAAAGTGGATGAAGAATGTCAACTGTTCAGATAATGCATGTGGCTGTGGTTGGATACAACCTAAAGAGCTCATCAATCATTCACATGTGTATATCTAACACATACATATTCTGTAGAAAAACATATTATATGTAATATATACACATGACAATCTAAAATACACACTTACATATGTGTGTATGGCCTGCCTAATATATACACAACTGTATGTATATTTAAAACATACACATATATGTGTATACATATATTCACATATATGCATATACACAATGCATATATACATACACAGTAGGCAGACAATAGAAAAAAGTTAACAATTTGGGCTGAGAATTCAACAGGTGGCACACAACAGGTAGTATTGCAAAGCTCCTATAATCGACCTTAAACTTCTCCTGGAAACAAAGGCCCACCTATTTATTACTGATATTCTACCAGTATCATTGTAGGGCAATAAAAGCCATAGCACATAATAGTTTCTGAAGAACTGAGTTTCCTCAAAGGGCATCGAGAGAGGTATATGGTGGGCATGAGCTAGCTGCATCGTAAAACAAATGAAGAACATTAAAGAAAAATGAGCATAAAGGGTATCATCAGGGAAATATATGGTTAAAAAAGATGATGGGCTGTTCAAGTGGTAAGAGCAAGGATAATGACTAGATAACCTATGTTGTCCACTCATCCCTGCCATATTAAGAGGAAGTGAGAAAGGCCTCCAGAATATTGGGTGGACCTCTTGTGGCAAACCTAGGGAATGGGGATGGGCAATGATCTGTATTGCTTAAGGGAACATACACATCAATGGCATCACGGACCCATTTGTGGATTTAACTACTACCCTGTGAGACTGCATTAGGCTAGGTATCAGATGTCTTTTGGAAACTTAGGAACAGAGAGATGGGATGATTTGCCACCTAATGCGACAGATCCAAGGTTAGCATTCAAATCTTTGATTAAAGGTGGTACCTTTCCCACCACATCTTTCTGTCTCTTATTGTGAAACAATGTCAACTATACCAGTACTAACTTTTTGAAAGGATGTATGTACCCAAGGCTCTAACTACAGGCATGGAGGAGGTTCTATTGACATGGGAAAATGGAGTAACCTTTGTCCTGATATGATCATATCTACCATTTTATGTCTTCAATATACTCCCTTTAGTTAAGATCCCTAATTCAGGCCCTCAAAGGGTCCTCAGAATAAACTTAGGTACTCAATTATTATGAACATGGCTCTTAGCCAATTTGTGATACATATGTGTTTTATGACCTAATGTTGAATCTGTGAGTCATGAACTTTTTTGCTAATTAACTAGATCCAGGACAAGTTCACTCTCTCCAGAGTGTAATCTTTTTCAAAAGTCTCTCCTATAAAACCTGGAGAAGAGATTGTTTCTCTGTCATGGCTGGAAAAAACAAAAGAAGATGGAGATGTCTTAATTTTTAAAAAAATGAAACTATTGTAAACTTTATCTTGTGAAGAAGATCAAGATGATTCTTGTGGAATGACCCTGTTATCCTGAATGAACTAAATGGTGATAGACTATTGTCTCAGAAGTGGAAAAAAAAAGTCATTTGTAGTGAAGATTTGAAGTGATTCTGGTTCTGATCTTTCTTTAGAACTAATATTCTGCCAATGTTGTTTTATGGCTATGAATGATGGAACATTATAGTCTCTGAAGAGTTAAAGTAGGTTTCCTTAGAGGCCAGTAGGAGAGTAAAGCTAAAGTACTGAAACTAATTAATTTATGTTTTTGTTTTACTGTGGATTTTACTATCAATACATTATATATTTGGTAACTTTAATATATATATTTAATCCTAGGAATTTAAGGGACTTGATAAAGAGATATAAGTAATTTCTATGGGGAAAGGAGGTTTCTTCATTTAAAAAAAGAAATAACATTTGATGAACTGGAGTGGGGGCTCTGAGTTTAGCTGATTGAAAGAGATACTGAAATCTTATTAATTATTAAGAAATATACAAACATACCCCTGAGTAAGCCAAGACCTTGGGATGACAACATTAACTGTGGAATGAATCAAGTAGAACATTAAAAGGCAGGGGTGTGATAATAAATGTTTAGCAATCAGCTCTCCAAAAATGTACAGACAACACACTTTTAAGTTTAATCTACATTATTAACCCTTTAAGTGTAGACAATCAACAAAACAGTAAGACCTGATTTGTAGCGTTTTCCAATTTCCAACATATACTCACTTTGAAAATTTAAAAAAAAAAAGGCTCTGGTTTGAGCTGGCTCCAGCACACTCCAGAAGGATAACCTATAAGTAAAGATGGTGAACAGTATAACATGGCTACATATTACATGTGTGTGTTTGGGGGAGGAATGTGGGAGAAGGGGGGGGAGTGGAATTCATCCTTCTAAAGCTGCTACAAGAGCAAGGAGGCCTGCCACAAAGATAGAAACTGCAAATTATCTGGGTAAATTCATTCCAGTTTAGTATTACCTGTACCAAAGATTCCTTTTGCTAGGTAGATAGTTAAAGGATTGTGATTCTTGGAATCTCAGAATTAGAAGAGACTTTAGAAATCTAATGCAACCTCCCCAATGCAGGCATCCTTCCTAGAATGGCTCTGGAAGTTTATCCCTTAAATAATCCTAGTAAAAAGAAATATTGGTTATAAGAACAGAAAAGGATACAAAAGCTCCAATGATGAATATAGGGCTGAAAATGTGTTTCTGGAAGGTGAACAGGGCTAAGCCCATGTAGGAGAATATGAAGTTCTCTGCCAGGAAGTGGAGCACTTCAAAAAGCTGCAAAGATTTAAGGGGAAAGAACAGGAAAAAATATAGATATAGATATATGCATACATATACACATATATGCATTTGTAACATATTAATTTTCCTTTATTTAATTAATTGCAGTACTAAAATGATTTGCATTTCTTTTTCACTTAGTAGAATGACCTCTTTCAGATCTTACTCACTTGCTTGGTTCGACTTCTTGACTCCACTGACAGGTTGTTGTAGGTGTAATGAGCCTGGGTAATTCCACAGAAAAGGACAGCAACAACACCTGTCAAGAGGCAATGGGAGTGGGGAGGGACGGGAGAGAGACTGAGTCAAAAAAGAGGGAGTAAGAAAAAAGCTCCTTACTGAAGCAAAGGATGAATCAGGCAAGGTCAAATGTAAAAGGTCCTCTGAATTTAAAAAAAAAAAGTTACCTATACTGAAATTTACATGGCTGAAGTTCCCTCCTCTCCAGATTCTTTCCATTCTTTAAGTCCCACTTTCCTAACTACTCCAACTAGATATGCCATCTATCTCCCTCCCTGGAATGCCTAAAGTATTAATTATCTATGCCACTCACTGGGTATTTAATTACTGCCTTGCATTGTTAGCTATCAAATCATGAGAGTATTACTAATAGTCTGAACTAGATTAAATTCCTTGAGGGCAGGGTCTAGGTTTTATTCATCTTTGTATCTTCCAGAGCTCACCAAGTACCAGGTATACAAACATTTTATAGATAAGCAAAGCTCTGAAGACTATGAGCACAGTGCTTTCATCCACTTTCCAAAAATAGTTATCTATAGGACCAATTTTAGGATTAAACCGACCAGCCTAAGTCTCCTTCCCCTCCCCCAACAACAACAAAAAATCAAATGGTTCAATATCACCTCATTAAGTTAGCTCTGACCCATCTGAGTTTGTTTATTCTAACCACCATTTTATGCAAGCTATTTTGCCCAGTGAGGCACTTCTGACATCTGTCTGCTGAACATATTTATATATGACTATAAATATGTCAAAAATGGGAAGGATATAATGCTGTATAGAAATATATCATGTAGGATATGTAAATACGTGATAGAATAGAGTCTGGTCTGCTTGGATCATGCTACGTATTTGAAACTGTGCTGGATTTCATCTAAGGCTTTCTCATGGTAACAGGAAAAGTATAGAAAGTGAATAGCTAGGAATTAGATTCTTTCAGTTTACAAAAGCAATGACATTGGTGGTACCTTTGTTTCTTAGACCTAGAAGCTATTGGCTACACATATGACAGGGGGCATGTACAAAATAGCTGGGGCAGGAAGGACAGGATTAATGCTAGAGCACTCAGAATCCATGATGGAACAGACCAGAGAGGACAGTATTATTCACATGGCTGTATTTACGTATATACATATATGAAGAGGCAAAACATGCATTAGAAAGAAAAAAATGGATATTTAACAAGCTGAAAGACCTTTAGGTATTTGTGACATAAAGACCAGAACTCAATGGAAAATTCAATATATAAGATCCAGAAGAAATATGAGGAAAACATTAAAGACCAATTATGAGGGATGTGACAGGGTCAAACTTTACTTTCTCCGTGTGAAAATGTTATCAGTATTCTTGGGACTGTCATCATTACTTGGGTAGTTTGAAAAAAAGGTTGGGGCTGAGCTGAGTATGATGGGGTGATTCTAAAAAACAAAATTGGGCAGGAAAAGGTAAAAAGGAGCAATTATCTCATACAAATGAAGCATGAAAGGAAGAACTGATACAGAGGAAACAGGTAAGAGTGGAGGGCGGATAGTGCTGGAACCTTACTCTCATTAGATCTGGGTTAAAGAGGGGAACAACATAAAAGGGTATCATCTTTATTTCTATTCTACTATGTTATTAAGTGCTTGTTTTATTTCTTAAATTCAGAATAAAATAAATTTTTAAAAAAGAAAGGAAACATTCTTTCCTTTGTACCAGCCTGTGTGTGTATATGTGTATGTGTGTGTGTGTGTGTGTGTGTGTGTGTGTGTGTTTCCTGAAGCAAAGTAATAAAAAAATAGATTAGGGAAGGAAATATTCTCACTAAATCTCTTTATATACAAAATGTGTCTACTAAGGCTTAAAGTTAATGCTCAAAAATTAGATGCAGAAAAGGATCTATCTCAGTTCTGACAACAGAATAAGTTGTGACCTTTTTTAAAAAATAAAGGATGAGGTTTTTAGGAAGAGGTAAATACCACAATGGACCAGAACCAGGATCTTCTTAAAACAATACCTAAAAAGCACCCAGCCCTGAGGAGTCAACTAAATTAATAACTATTGTCAATTTTCACAGAAGATCACTCATTTTTATTATTGGGAGCCTAGGTGCAAAAAGAGATCATCCAAGGAAAAAAAGCATTGGCCCTGGGGTCAGAGGGTCTTCAAATCCTGCCTCTTACCACTCACTGCCTGTGTGACCTTGGGGAAGTCTCTAAACTTCCCTGAGCCTCAGTTTCCTCATCTGTAAAGGGAGGGGGCTGGATCAGATGTCCCTTTGAGGCACCTTCCAGTTCTCCTTGTATGAACTCACCTGTAAACCCACAAGCTTCTGCTAAAAGGAAGGTACTCCAGGACATTAAGAAAAAGAGAGCAGTCTCCAGCAGGGGGAAGCAGTGAAGTTTGGTAAACTTGGTCACGTTAGAGACTGTTAAGGACTGATTTATAAGCAACTTGAAGTTACAAAGAAACATACCAATAAACTGATTTTCCCCTATTCCTCCCCTTCCCAACCCTACCTCCCATAAAAAAAAAATCCCAATCCACACTTCCGTCTAACCTTCCCAATTGTATTTGAGCTACTGAGGATCTTTTTTTTTAATCTCAAAATTCAACTGTTAAGAAAACGTGAAAGCTATTTTCTCTCTGTGTGCCTGGAAAATTCTTCTCTTGTGCCTCCTGACACCTCCAGCTTCTCTTTGTATGCCTCAGCCCAAGTTCTACTTTTATAAAAGGCCTTTGCTTATATTACTTCCCCTGCACCTCACCCCAATCCAGAGGAAAAAAAATTTGTATGCATTTTCTATTTCCTTACCAACGTACATGTCATTTCCCCCTACTGGCATGTAAGCTTGTAAAAGTGGGGAAATGTTTTCAGTTTTGTTGTTTCCCCAAAACACAGTGTGTGGGACATAGGACAGGGATGGAGGTAAGCCGTGGGTAATTTCATTGGTATAAGGAACTTCCAGGTGAGAAAACTCCCTCTACCAATGCAGATTAGCACTTTTTCTGCAACTTATTAAGACATTAAGTGATTTGCTCATGTTACACAACCAGGATGTTGTCAGAAGGCAGGCTTGAACCCAGGCTTCAGAGGCCAGTTCTCTCTACATTAAACCATACAGCCTATCTATGTGTCTGACATGGAATATTTTTTACCATTTTCAATTCCCAACTCTATAACACAGCTTCGTGAAATTTGATCCAGCCTGTTACAAGAAAGTGGCTCAATTCTGTCAAACATTAAGCATTTATTGAGTTCCTAATATGTATGGAGAATTGTGCTAAATAACTACTGTTAAGGGACATACAAGCATAAGGCATGGTTCCTTTTCTGAAGGAATTTATTATCTAGCATAGGTTATGAGGAATATACATCACAAAAAGACATCAACAAAATGGTATATGATTTAGTATCAAATGAGTGGTATTTTGTTGTTGTTAAGTCACTGTCAGTTGTGTCTGATTCTTTATGACCCCATTTGGGGGTTTCTTGGTAAAGATACTAGAGTGGTTTGCCATTTCCTTCTCAAGCTCATTTCACAGATGAGGAACTGAGGCAAACAAGATTAAGTGACTTGCCCAGGGTCACACAGCTAGTAAGTGTCTGAAGCCAGATTTGAACTTAGGTCTTCCTGTCTTTGGGTCCAGTGCTCTATCCACTGGCCACCTAGCTGCCCCTAAATGAATTTATAATAGTAAAAGCCTGCCTTCAAACATGGTCCATGTAAGTCTCCCACTGGTTCTCATCCATAGTCTAGCCCCAAAGCCCTTCTTCCCTAGGTGTATGTGGACTTCTGACTCAAGAGGCAGAGGATGGAGGGATGGGATAGAGCTAAGGTCAGTGACGCAGGGAAAGAAGGGGAAAGAGGAGAAGGAACAAAAGAAAAGAGTTAAGAATAATAAAAAATAAAGAGTAGAAATGAGAATGAAGAATAACTACAAAGTAATGCGCTTGATTTTTTTGTATTGGTAAACCATCTGTGCAGATGACTCCCAAAGAGGAGTTCCATAAAACATAGTGCAATGGCAGCATCATTGGGATAACCAACAGCTCCCTAAGGTGATTACTTTGAAGGGCAACATTCATTTAAGAAATTTAAGTTTTGGTATACTTATGAAATCAACCTAATTACTGCTGCAAAGTGAGGAGAGGAGAACTAGGAGAACAATTTATACAATAACAGCAGTACTATAAAGATCAACAACTTTTAAAGACTTAAGACTCATCTTTTTGAGTTCAAATCCGGCCTCAGACACTTGCTAGCTGTGTGACCCTGGGCAAGTCACTTCACCCTGTTTGCCTCAGTTTCCTCATCTATAAAATGAGCTGGAGAAGGAAATGGCAAACCATGGAAAACCCCAAATGGGGTCAAGAAGAGTAGGACAGGACTGAACAACAACAGCAAATGTGCCAAGTACTGTGCTAAGTACTGGGGTATACAAAGAAAGGCCAAAAATAAAACCGCAATAGTTATATACATATACGTGTGCATGTGTGTGTATTTTGGACAAGGCCAATATAGGAATGTTTTTGTGTGACTGAACATATTTCTAATGGGTATTCTTTCCTTGCTTTCTCAAGAGGAGTAGATGAGAAACAGATAAAGATCTGAAAATAAAATAAAATAAAATTTAAAAATAAATCAATCTCATTCTTTTATAGTGATGTACCTATATTCAACCCTTTAAAATGTCTGATAAAAGGCTGTGCTTTAATGACTGCTGCAGTCCAAATTTTGGAAAGACCTCAGAGTCTAATTCCATACCGTGATCTTGTGTTAGGCCATCACTGAAGCCAAAGCAGTGAAGTTTTTTGGCATTACAAAATAAGTAGTGGAGGATGAAATAATTATTACAAGTAATTGTTAGTTCTAGAATCTTAAATGCAAGTACATCTGCCAGTAATTAGGTATGCAATTTCTCATGAGTCATTGAACTCATCTGGGCCTCACTTTTCTCATCTGTAAAATGGGGAAGATAAAGCAGTAAGCAAAGTGCTGAAATTCAGTGATTTTTCAATTTTATGATTACGGTACAAGGTGAAGTTGGTAATACTGGTGAGATGGTGGCTCAAGGAAGGAGGAAGATTGTTCTGAAACAAAAGACCTAATAACTTGATCTTTATCTATGCTTATTATAGGGAGATTTGCAATGAATATAATGAGTCAGCAAAACAGCCATCTCTGGTTTCATCGGTTTCTCAAAATGCCACTGAGTTTTTCCAAATATTTCCTCATTTCCAAAGAAGCCTGTGGAAAATTTCCCCAAAGAATTCATTTTGGATTCCATGACCCTGATGAAGGCAGCCCTTTACCTACTTATGCTAGCAAAAATAAAATAGGAATTATGAAGATAAGTATTTCACACAATATACAATGCTAAATCATAATGAGTACAATTTTATATACTTGGTGGCTGTTGCCTTGTTCTGTTGATTTATAGATACTGTAGAAAGCTTTGTATTAGGCAGGCAAATCATTTATGGTTATAGTAAACATGAGATTTATGGTTTATGCCTGGATATAGAGGTGACCCAGTCATTTAGTGAGAATGAGACACAACAGATGGACAGTCTGAATGCTACATTAGCAATAATAATACCAACTGAAATTTATCTAATGCTTTAGGGCATCTGCAAAGCACTTTACAAATGCCATCTCATTTTATCTTCATAATAATCCTGGGACTAAAAAAAAAATCATTAAGGGGCAGCTAGGTGGAACAGTAGATAGAGCATCAGCCCTGAAGTCAGGAGGACCTGAATTCAAATCCGACTTCAGACCAAACACTTAACAGTACCTATGTGACCCTGGGCAAGTCACCTAACCCTAATTGCCTAAAAATAAAAAAAAAATCATCATAACCCTGTGAGACAGGTATTGTTATTATTATTATTATTATTATTATTATCCCCACCTTACGGATAAAGAAACTGAGGCTGAGAATGGTTAAGTGGCTTGCTCAGGGTCACACTGCAATTAAGTATCTGAGTCTATATTTGAACTCAGGTCTTCCTGACTCCAAGCCCAGTGTTTTACCCACTATGCCACCTAGTCACCCATACTATCCTCTAGATATTAAGACAATCAGAGGAAGACCTCCATGACAATGGGTGGATGTTTTGTGGAAGATTTACAGGAAGACAAAGATAAGAATCAGCAGGGCTGTGATCTGTATCAGCAGACAAAACCACACCCATGAGATCACAGATCTAGTTCTAAATTATTTTTTATTTGTGGTCCCTTACAACCAGACTCAGGCATGAGATCCTTGGTCGGGAATATCCTCCTTGTTTCTTTGGGGAAATCAGCAAGCAGCTCATTAATCAGGTTAGGTTTTCCAGGCACATACCCCATAAACTACAAGAATATGGAAAAACTTTTCACTGAGGCAGAAAAACAATTTTCAACAGGGAAAATGTAATCCAGATGTTTGTATCAGGAGCAGAGGCCAGACAAACATTTAGACATTCACAGGCATAAAAGCATGAGATGGAAAGCTTACGGATGATGGGAGGGTAACAAATATCCCAAGTGCTCCTCCCAAATATCTTTGTGTGATAAACATCTAGTAGCTGTACACTGAAAACAGGTTGAGATACTCTTCCTTCATCAAGAGCAAGACATTTCAAGGGGATCTAACCCAATTTAGGTGTCAGATTGAAGACTTTAATCTAACAGCTAATCGACACTTTTTCTTTTCAAAGTCTTATGCAACATAAAGTCAGAGCCAGAAAAACCACAGGAAAGGATATTAGAGCTGTCACGACTCCAGTCACTGCTCCCATGGCAAAGGAGCCACTGAATATTCCCAGGAACACACCTACGGATTTAAAGAACGCTGCAGCATCAAAAGCATGCGTATTCAACCCAGTTGGCTGGTAGGCAACAATAGACCTGGAGTTTGAGGGAAAAGGGGAAATTTAAAAAAAGCAAGGTCAGGTAAGGATTAAGAATATACTGCATTCTAAATGCTCACATCAATAAAATAGAGAAAGAGCAGACTAACAAATTGAGTATGCAATGAAAAAAAACTAGAAAAAGAACAAATTAAAAATCCCCAATTAAACACTAAATTGGAAATCCTAAAAATTAAAAGGTGAGATTAATAAAATTGAGAGTAAAAAAACCCATTGAATTAATAAATAAAACTAGGAGTTAGTTTTTATGAAAAGAAAAAATAAAGTAGCTAAACAATTGGTTAATTTGATTAAAAGAAAAAAGAAATACTGCATTCGCTTGAGCCAATTTTTTTCCAAGTACAGCACTATCTCATCTTGGTTCTTTGAAATCTGAGTCCTGTTGACTGAAGACTGAAATGGCACATTATCAGTAACCTGGTAACTCTTATTTAGATGTGATTCAGTATTTGACACTGTACCAGACAGCAAAATAGACAGTACAGCATAGTGAAGAGAGGGGTAGCCTCAGAATCATGAAGATGCACCTCTGATACATACTAGCTGTATGACCCTGGCCAGGTTACTTTTCAGTGCCCCAGGGAACAATCTAACACTATAAGTTTCAGAACTCAGGGCTTTCCATATGATGACAAAATCATGAGTTCTATCCCCAAAAAGGGGATACAAATAATAGACTTTAGTACTTCAGTTTATAGCATACCAGTCAAGAAATGCCTTTTCCTTATTATGAATTTTTTTTTAATTTTTTTAGGCAATGGGGTTAAGTGACTTGCCTAAGGTCACACAGCTAGTAAGTGTTATGTGTCTGAGTCCTTATTATGAATTATTACTCACGAGGATAACACTATGGCCACAGCATCATTTAGGACACTTTCTCCAAACAGAAGGGCATAGAGGTCCACATCAGCATGTAGTTCATTAAATATGGCCAGTACAGTCACTGAAAAAAAAGAACAAAGATACAGATAGATTCATTAGGAAAATTCTTTCTCTTTCCCTTGTAGACCAAGCTAAGCCAGCTTTACTGAAGTTAATCCCTTGTTATAACAAAAGCAAAAAGTTGTTACCTATGGAATGGGTAATAAAAATATCCAACTTGTCTATAGCAGACATCAGCTGTTTGATATTGCTAACCTCCGTCAAGTTCTGGTCGTACTAGTATTATAATAATAAAAGCTAGCATTTATATCTCATTTTACGGTCTGCAAAGCACTTTATAAACATCTCATTTGATCCTCACAACAACCCTGGGAGGTAGGTATATTATTATCCCCATTTTACAGATGTGGAAATTGAGACAGATGTTAAGTTATTTGCCCAGGAAGTGTCTAAGGCTGGATTTGAACTCAGCTCTCACTGACTTGTAAGCCAGTGTTCTGTCCATTGAGCCACCTACCTATAGTCACAGCAGGTCACTAGCAGGCCAACAATTCTCAGAATTTGTCAAAAATTATACTTTTGGTTAATTCCAGAATACTGGCCTTATATAACTTTAAGTCAGTTGTTTTTAACTTTTCTGGAGTTTTGATGCCCTATGCATTGGATTTCACTTCCTACTCCTAACACAGTCCGAAGCCCATTTACAACAACTTGTATTCATATACCGTTTTGTTTTTTTTAAACCTTTCAAAGCACTGTCACATCATCTCCCTTCCATGATGAGATATAGTTCTGTGGAATTATTACAGATTTAGAGCTGCAAAGAATGTTAGAATTCATCTGGTCAAACCCCTTCATTTTACAAATAAGAAAACTAGAAGATGTTAAATGACTTATCCAAGGTCACACAGGTACTAAGTGACAGCACTATTTGGCTAAAGAAAGTTGGTGAAAATGCTACAATTAGAAACCAGGCTTCCTAACTCCAACATAGGCCTCCTTCTACTTTAGAGCACTGAAAAAAAAAATGAGAATGGAAATTAGTTTAGGTTGGAGAATTTTATGATGTACCATTAGATCACAGGACACATCTGGCGGGATTTCGAAAGGAGAGGCCTGAATAACCTTTCTAAACATTCAGAACCACTTCACAGATATCAAGAAGGCCCATTCCAATCAGATTTTTTTTTTTCTCCAAAGGGCTTGCCACTTTCTTCTCTTTCTTTCTTTTTTTTTTTTTGGTTAATTTTCATACCACAAATACCAAGTGACTGAAAAAGCTTATCTTTTCCCTATACATTCTGGTAGAGCTTATCAGGTGATAAAGCAGGAAAAAATTTAGTCATTAGATGTTTTTACCTACCACACTCTTCCAAAAAGAATTCCTTATGTGTTGGCTTACTTATTAACACAAGTTAAGCAGTCATTGCAGCTAGTTCCTTTTGGTTTACTCTCCTTAATTAAATAACCCTTTTTCTGTTTCTTAATTTTTTCTATATGTTGAGAGAAAAAGGAAAACCAATATAACAAAAAAGGTTGCCAATCAGATCTGCTATCATAATGGTAGCTAGCACGTCAAAGTTTGCAAAACATTTTCCATATATTAACTCATTTGATCCTCACAACAATGCTGTGAGATAAGTGTTATTTGTTGTTGAGTTGTTTCAGTTGTGTCTGATTCTCTCTGACCCTATTTGGAGTCTTCTTGGCAAAGATATTGGAGTGCTTTGGCATTCCTTTCTCCAGCTCATTTTTGCAGGTGAGGAACTGAGGCAAACAGGGTGAAGTGACTTGCCCAGGGTCACCCAGCTAGGAAGTGTCTGAGGCCAGATATGAACTCGGGTCCTCCTGACTCCATAACTGGTGCTCAATCCACTGCCCTGGTAGCTGTACCTAAGCCACTTAGCTGCGCAGTTGTGTATTATTATGTATACTTTACAGATCAGGAAACTGAAACACAGAGTAATTAAGTGACTTAGCACTGTGCCTGGTACTTAATAAATGTTTATTGAATTGACTTGCCCAAGGTCATCCAGCTAGTAAATGTGAGAAGCCAAATTAGAATCAGGCCACTTGGCCTCCAGGGCCAGTACTCTATCCATCCACAGAGCAGCCACCAGCTCCTTAGAACTTGTCCTGAATTTATGGACAGTGATTTAACCAGTAAGTCATTCTGCTTGTCACTTAACTTCTCAAGAGAAGCTTTTCCCTCTAAAAGACTTTAATCTTCACTGATAAGCAAACATAATAAACAACAGCACTCTCTCAAAAGGTATTCACAAGGAGGCAGCTAGGTGGCGCAGTGGGTAGAGCACTGACCCTGAAGTCAGGAGGACCTGAGTTCTAATCCCGCCTCAGACCAAACACTTGACACTAGCTGTGTACCCTGGGCAAGTCACTTAACCCCAATTGCCTTAAAAAAAAAGTATTCACAAAATTCTTAAAATGAAATGTTAATTGACTCATTTAAAAACATTATAAAAATATCAGAGAATCATAGCTGGAATGAACCTTAAAGATCTTATGGTATAAGCTGCTTCTCTTACAAATGAAGGAACTGAGGCCTAGAGAGACAAAGTGAGTTATGCACACAAACTCACATAGTCATTGGTAAAGTTGGTGCTTAAAGTCAAAGATAACTCCAAGCAGCAGGTGGCACAGTGGATAAAATGCCAGGCCTGTGAAATCAGGAACATCCCAGTTCAGTTCTAGTGTCAGTTACTGGCTGTGTGATCCTGGTCAAGTCCACTTAATCCTAACCCTCTGTCTGCCTCAAATGTAAAATGGGGATAATAACAACACCTACCTCTGAGGATTGTTGAAAGAATAAAATGAGCTATTTGTAGAATACTTTGCCAAATTAGCTATCATTTAGGGTTTCTTTCCCTACACTATCTGGCAGTACAGTTAGGAGTCAGGATTATGAAAAGGGAAGGAATGTGAAAAATGATCCAATTCAAAATATTTGTGAATTGTTGTTCAAACAAACTCCTGGACACTCAGCAATTTGGGGCAGGCCTTAGGGTGGACTTTGAACTTTTTTTCTTCATTGTTTCTTATCTTTGGCTGAAACTGAATCTAATTGGGTCTGCTTTCACCAGGCTGGGGAGAAAGAAACAACAAATTGGAAAAGAAGAGCAATTTCTATTAATACTAAACATGAAATTAGGAGGATGGGGTTTTTTCTTTCTTAGCTGTAAGTTGCTGTGTCAATCAGAGGTACTGAAGAGGAAGACTTTTCCTACATACTGACTTTCTATAGTCAATTAAAACAAAAAACAAAAAACAAAAAACAAAAAAAACCCCAAAAAACAAAAACAAAAAAACCCCAAAAAACAAATAAACAAAAAAAAAACAACCACATAACCCCCCCCAAAACAACAAACAAACAAACAAACAAACAAAAAAAGGATTCTAAGACCTACTCAGGTGAATGTAGCATGGTAAATCCAGTGGATAGACGGGTGAGCTGAGAGTCAGAGGATACATGTTGTCATCCTAGATCTGCCATTATCTTCTTGGATTCATAGGATTATGGATTTAGAACTGGAAAGAACCTTAACCAACTGGTCCAATTCCTTAATTTTTCAAGTGAAGAAAGTAAGGCTCAGAATGACTAAGTAACTAGCCAGTGGCAAATGAAGGATTTGAACCCAGATCTTCTGAAACTAAATCCATCACTCTTTGCACTCACTGGGAAAATCACAATATGTTTAGGCTTTAGTTTCCATGTCTGTAAATGAAAGGTTTAGGCTAGATGATTTCGAAATTTCTGTTTCTATTACGCTAATTATAAGTACTAATGGTAACATACCATCAACTCTAAATTATCCTCAATAATAAAGGACAAGGATAACAAGGATAATAATCCCAAAACATCATTCTCCCTTGGCATTCTTCCCCCAAATACCCTAACAGGCTGGCCAGAACTAAAAATGTACATATTTGCATTTCATCCTTGTATTTCTCCTGCTGACTTTACCGTATTGTTCAGGTCTCCAATTTTAGTCCTAGATTGCAAGCTTTTCACTCCCCAAGACAAGTAGAAACCCATCTGCCACTTCATGCACTCAGTGATATTAAACCTTTCTCCATATTCTCAGCTACCATATTACTCCTCTGACCCTAACCCTCAACAGATGGGATAGAGGGAAACTGAGTAGGCTGTGCTCTTTGTCTTCTTCAGTGCTTATGAAGGTTTGGTTTTCTCAATGACAGAAAAAAGGATGGAATAGAAAATGACAGCAATGAAAACCCAGAATCTAAGAGGTGGAAGAGGGACCTGAGAGGCCAACTAGTCTGGCTCATATCTGAATAAAAATCCTTTCTAGAATATAACCAACAAATAGCCATCCATGTTTTGCCAGAAGACCATTAGCAGGGCATGGGGGAAGTGAACCAACTATATCCCACAATGTCCCATTGACTTTTGGTTAGCTGTGATTGTTAAGAAAATTTTTTTTACTTCATCTAATTTGCTGGTTTCCACCTTCCACCCTCCGTCCCTAGTTCTACCCTCTGGAATCAAAGAAAACAAGTCTAATCCCGTTACTGTGAACTAGCCCTTAAAATGTTTGAAGATAGCTATCATTTTGTCCTCTGCTCTAGCCTTTTCATCTCCAGACTAGAAATGCCCCAATACCTTCAATAGGTATTCAATAGCATGGACTAAGTATCCTGTACCTTCGTGAATGCCTTTTTTGGGACACTTTCCAGCTTATAAATGTTTTTCCTAAAATATAACTGGCATTCTGAACTGAACCCAGTACTCCAAATGTGATCTAACCAGGACAGAGTACAGTACAGAATACTTCCCTAGTCCTTGACCCTCTGCCTTTCTTAACTTAGCTTGAGGTAGTTTAAGCTTTCTTAGTTGACATACTACACTTAGTGACTCCTACTGAATTTGCAGCCCAAGAAAATACCCATATCTTCTTCAGATGAACTATTCTCTAACAATAAGCCCCCAATTTGTATTTGTGAAATTGGTTTTTGAAATACAAGTGTTAAGGCATTACATTTATCCTCATTACATATCATTTAAGTAGATATGGCTCAATG